GATTTTCTCAATGAAATGCGAGGGGAGGCCGTCAGCTGAGAAGGGAGAGGTATCGATGGGTATGGAGGGAGGGTGTGAGAGAGGGAAGCTGTCGAGTGGGAAAGCCGGCAGACCACCCGGGAATGAGTGCTAGGATTGTGTGGTAGCAGCAGGTCCCTTTTGAGATTCATGGTCATGAAATAAAACGAGATTAGTTGCTTCGTAGTGTGGTTTTCTCTGAAACCTTTCACTACACAGAACTGCATAGACAGGTCACTGGGTTTAGCCAGCAGTGCGTTTTTCTCGGTGGTACTTCCAAGGGAGAGAGAAGCAAAAACGTCAAGGGTGTTTGCCAGGTAGATGGATGACCGACCATGGGTGTGGGCGGGGAGGTGAAGTGAAGACCTGCAGCACTGCTGGGTAGTTAAGGGGTGGACTCGGGGATCGGAGGCCTGTCCTAGGCTGCAGGAAAACACCCAAGGGGTGGACAGAGTAGGGCGCTGGAAACAGGTTTTGGATGCGATGGTTTTGGAAATCGGTGGGTCAAGGGTGTAATGGTGGCTGGAGCAGAGTGAAAGATGGTTGGAAGAGAAGAGGTCAGAGGGCTTACAGGCCAGGATATTCGATGGAGCATCCAAGGGGATAACGAAGTTCCAAGAGTGGTGACAAGAAGAGGAACAGGGAGGAAGTGAAAGGCGGGAGCTCATGGCTCACACTGGTGAGATGCTGTTGGGGACAGCGAATGGTGACCCATTTGTCATAGTTAGCACACAAATGCCTCTTTCTGTTTGTAGATGCTGCTGCAGCTTCAGCAATGGTGTCTGCTTCCGCCCCTTCGTTGTACAGCGTGCAGGCCCTCTCTCTCCTGGCAGAGGTAAATACGCGCTGACTTGTCATCCCTTAAGGAAAGGAGTGCTGTCCTGAACCCTTCCTGCTCGGGTCACGCTCCCAGGTGAGGGCCTCAGGCAGTGTTGGCCGCAGGCTGCAGCGTGGAGTTTTCTGGTTAGGTTTTGCTGTGAGGGCTGCACTTCTTATTGCTGCATCCTTCCGAAAAGGCTTCTGTTTTCTCACGGTCTCGTTCTTTTAGGTTCTGGCTTCTCTCCTGGACATGGTTTATCGAAGTGACGAGAAAGAAAAAGCAGTGCCTTTAATCTCCCGATTGCTTTATTATGTTTTTCCTTACTTACGCAATCACAGGTAACGTCGTCTTCTCCCCTCACGTGTGGGAAAATGTTTTGAGAAATGAATCAAGTGGTTTTCCTTGGACAGTCTTTGACCTTGGCCCTTGTCTCTTCCCACTCCCATTTAGCGCCTACAACGCTCCCAGCTTCCGGGCGGGCGCCCAGCTGCTGAGCTCACTGAGCGGCTACGCCTACACCAAACGCGCCTGGAAGAAAGACGTCCTCGAACTGTTCATGGACCCCGCTTTCTTTCAGATGGACACCTCTTGTGTTCAGTAAGAAATGCCGTCTGATAAAAATGTGCTCTGAATCTTCACGTGGAAACTGTTTTGGGGGTGATGTAACTAATTCTTGTTCCTAAAATGGAAGCAGACCCAGAGCACCAACCCAAATAACAGGATATGATATTCACAGGCTCACATGTTAATCGTGTGTTCGCGGGAAAGGAATGAAGTCTTGTAAAATACAAAGGTGCTTTTTTGTCAAAAGAAGAATTTCATTAATTAAGACGGCATATTTTTCCTGAAGAGCATAACATGAGGTTCCAGTGATACTTTGTATATCTAGTACTACTTTATCTTGTAATCGCAAAATATCTGACCGACATTAAGATGACAGAGCCCATTGGTGACCCTGGTGGCATCTTTACCTCGCTTCTCAGCTTACACTCCGCAAGTTCTTGCTGAGATCTTGCAGCAGGCTAGGCAGAGGGCCACGGAGACACAGATGCGAGATGTGCTTCCTGGGCCTTTCTCTTGGAGATCGAGAACACCACTCAGGAATTCTCCCTGACTTGGCCAAGCGAGTCTGTTAATGAGAGGGAGGCTCTGGGATGGAGGGTGGAAATTGGGGCAGCCTTTCTGTATGACCTGAAGAGCCAGAGGGCTGCTTGGCGCCCTGCGGCTTCCATCCCAGTCACCCTGTTGCTCTGCTAGGGTAGCCCGTCTGGAAGTAGGAGCTAAGGGTGGAATTTGTCTGCACTACCCCACTTCCTTCCATCAACACGATCGTATGAGCATCATCCTGTGTGAACATATTGAAGGGCAGCCCTCGAAAGTCCAGAGTGCCTTGTCAGTTTACGCTTTCCTCACGTTAAGTTGGAAAGGTCGTTCTTCATTTCCTGTGTTAGGATTATAGATGAAAAGCTTTAGCTCAGCTTCCCCTTACACAAAAACTATTTATTTGTGTCACTAACCTCTTTTCAGAAAGCAGTTTTTATAATAATAGATCTTAAAGGGGCATGTTATTTTCTTGATGCTTTTAATCAGACGATCATCCATTGCAAATGTAATTAACTTTGGATTTTTTAATATCCAGCTGGAAGTCCATTATCGACCATCTTTTGACTCATGAGAAAACAATGTTTAAGGATTTAATGAGTAAGTTCTATGTTACATGCACAGAGGTCACACTTTAAAGGGCTGATGACATCATAACCAGCTTTTACCATGTATTGCAGAACCCTATTCAAACCTTTCATGGTGCTGCCTAAGCCACAAACTATAATGGGATGTCAGGAGTAAATGAACGAGTCTGTCCAGCTCCAATCTGTCGACATGAGTGCCTTGACAACCTTTTCTTAGTTTTATAATGGAGAAATACAGCTGAAAGCAGCCAGGTTCACATCTTGACATTTGTGTTGAAAGTAATGTTTTCCATTATTTATTAGTAGTAGTTTTCTACACTTCACATCCTCTTCTAATGCCCTATCAAGTATCATTAAAGAAATACGTTTTTGTTTTTGGTTTTGGTTTTTTGTTTTTGAAACAGAGGCTCACTCTGTTGCCCCAGCTAGACT